TAAGGCCTCTGATGCCGAAGTTGGCAATTAAACACAGAATGAATGCCAGGGTCAACTTCTTCAGGTATTTAAAATCCGGCATCTATTTTAGGGCACACTTGACTTTTTAAAATTTATTTTCTTTATAAATCTGGCCCCTGTAATGGACTTCCACTACCAGAAGGGGGCAGTAATGTACACAAAGCGTTTGCCAGCCAGCCAAAAACAAGCCCAGAGCAGAGAGCGCCAATAAAGAAATGCTGTGAGTGTAAGATGTGAAAAGGCAAAGGTGATGACTGCTCAGTGTGGAAATTGTAAATGGCCTGTATTTGTATAGTCCCTAAGGACCCCAAAGCGCTTTACGCATCCAGTCATCCATTCACACGCTGGTAATGGCAAGCTACATTGTAACCACAGCCACCCTGGGGCGCACTGACAGAGGCGAGGCTGCCGGACACTGGCGCCACCGGGCACCAGTAGGCAACGGGTGAAGTGTCTTGCCCAAGGACACAACGACCTTGTAACAACGACTTTCGAGCCCCAAGCCAGGGCTCGAACTGGCAACCTTCTGATTACAAGGCAAACTCCCAACTCTTGAGCCCAGTCGCCCTAAGACTAAGAAAGACTAAGGTCCACTCAGATTAGAGCTAAAACTGGTCTTCAGAGCGCTGTTCGGTGATGGGGACATCCTCAGAAGAATATGCAACAGGTTTTAATGAACGTTTTTGCTTCAAATGACACAGAAGTCAAAAAGGTAACCCAACATCAACACCTAAAGACAACCTCATTCAAACTGACCTATAAGGTACCGAGTACATATCCAATGACACAAAACACCAGAGTCATCAATATTACAGCTGCAGTGACCAAGTGTTTAGCGTGCATGTACAGTATATAAATAGGCCACGAACATCCTGCAGTGGAGGCTTCCCTTGGATTTGGAAATTAAAAAGCCACACCTCCGCGTGAGGCTGTTGGCTGGTGTTGAGGTGGAGAGAGAACTGATGGCGGCGCGACTGTCACCGCTGTCCAAACGCCTGCTCTGAATTACTGGCTTGGCTGCCGTCACTGACAAGCAAAGAGACAAAGCCGGCGTTCTGAGATTTACTTCCCTGGAATAGTTACTGAAGCAGTAACTCAGGTTATTTTGGAAACTTGCTTTTCCCAGTCTCTCCACATCTCTGATAAAGCTACAGCTGTGAGTACATGCTGCTCGTTGTTCCCACAGACTGATATCAACACAGTCCTGTAAGCATTTACACTGGAGGCTCAGGCACACACTTAACGTTACAAGTCTTCTTGGAGCTCAGAACTTCTTAGAGGAATTGGTTGTGTAATTTCAGCTCATTGCTGATCAAACCAACAAATTCATCACTGCTCCTTCTGCCCTAAACATCCAAAGACTATTTACAGAGCCACTCATTTTGAGAATCTGTCAGCAGCAAAGCTATCACAGTCAACTAAAACTAGATGTGAAAAAACCAAAAAAAAAGAACTACTTAAACTTTAAGACTGAAACTTTGAATCCTAAAAGAAAAAACTATAGGGGAAGCTAACACTGAAGCTAATCTAAAACTAAACCAATTACAAAACACTCAACAGCCCTGGTCAGCAGGAGAGCCAATGTAACATCACACAGTTTACAAACTGGGATCTCACATGATTTAAGAATAAATTCAAAGTGGGGAACTTTAAACGCATTTTTAATATTCAGGCTTTTCTGAACGAGCAGTAAGTGTAACTGGAGATTTCAGCTCTTGAACAGGTAGTCATCTCACTATAGGCAGCATTTGACGTTTTATTGGCAGACAAATTTGACGTCATTACTTTGATTTGTGGTATTCCCACCTGTGTAGCACAAACTCAGGAGTGTGTTTGGTCTAAAATAACCCTCTGCTTTGGAGAATTTTTAGTTTTATAATTTTTTCTCTCCATACAAATACAGCCTTAACTTAGCCAGTAAAATTACAAAGCTGCTGCTTTTAATTTCCTCCAGGATCTAATTTAATTTCTGGAGCCGAATATTTGGTTGTCATTTTATATTTAATAAGTGGTGCATTAAAACAGCAACTACATTAACATTTTTTTCTGGCTTCTCTCTCTCTCTCTCTCTCTCACACACAGACACACACACGCGCACACACACTCACACACACACACACACACACACACACACACACACACACACACACACACATTCACCAGAAAAATGAGATGATTAATGATGGAGCTCATTTTTCATAATTTAATGAAGTTGGAACATTTCGAACCCATCAGCTGATCTGAGCTGTGGAGAAGTCTCTAAAAACTCACCCATGAATCCAGCGGGGTAGGTGACATCAGTGCGGACCTTGCCGTCAATCTTGATGAACCTCTGCATGCAGATCTTCTTCACCTCGTCCCCAGTCAGGGCGTACTTGAGGCGGTTCCTCAGGAAGATGATGAGGGGCAGGCACTCCCTCAGCTTGTGGGGACCGGTGGAAGGACGAGGAGCCTGAGGAGGCGAAGGAAGCAGGCGTTATGGTCTGTAAACAAGAAGCTTTTTCATGATTTCTGTGCGTGCTCCACTTCATGATCATTAGTCAAGTATTCCCCACAAATACAATCAACTTTGTAGCAGATTCACATGTCCGCTTTATGCACTTGTATTCAAAGTTCATGCACTCGTGTTTTTGACCCTGGCTGCCCAGTTCACTCTCCTTCCTTCTAAGACTCCACAGTGTTGGACCGCAATACTGCTCCTCGATCTGCACAGGAGCTCCAGTATGAGCTGAAGGTCACCAGGACACAGCATTGTTCTTGTGCCACTACGCCAAGCATACCACAGGCTGCAGTGCAGAAGCAGGAGTACCAGCTACAGTCCAACATCGTAGAGCAAGAGGTCAAGTCCAGCATGAAAGACTCACTGAAGACAGCTCAGCTTTTAAGCAGCTAGGAAATCCTCAGTAAAACGCAATATGACCAAAAAACATTTTTGGTATAATCAAGTAAAAACATGATAGTTCTGTGGACTTTTGTCACCCAAGCACATAACACCTGCATAGAGGGCATATCCAATTACTATTATTTGATCATTCACAGCACTCTCACATAAATACACACATATCAATCACAAACACACTGGGTAACCTGGCAATGTTAACAGACCATCTTACATGATTCAAAATATGTAAACACCAATTCCAGCAGAACAAACATTATCGTCTACAAAAACAGATTTAAAATGACAAAAGCGATACAGTCTCTATGCCGCCATCATTTCTCACCCAGTACCAGCAGATGAAATTTTTTACTGCAGTCACAGACCCACATTTCCACTTTAAGCAAGTGCTACACTTTCTCCATCCTTCAGAGCGTCCTGAGTGTATACAACTGGGAGTGAATCACATAAGCATAATCTGTGTGTTATAATGAAATATTAGCCCTAGTTTGTCGATCTCATGTAACACCATTACTTGAGCTACATGGCATGGCATCACAGTCTATTTGTTCTTTTCTACCAGACAAGAAGCTGCCACGATTTAAATAATTTCAAGCTACGGTATTCAGTCTGCTGCAAGAGTGAAAGAAAAGCAAGAAGACGGCTGATGTGACAGAAAAGGACGCTAGGGATAGGGCAGGTGACTTGCTGTGGCTAACCCTAAATGGAGCATGTTAGCATTACAGTCTTTTTCACAATAATTAACATCTTATTCATTAAAAACGCATAACCTGTCTTTTATGTGTTGCTGTGATGCGTGACCATCTCAAATAATAACGGACTAAAAAACATGCAGGATTAAAGGCGTACACTTCAATGTTTTTTTAAACAGGCATATTCACCCTGCTCCAATCAAACTGCCTGTGATGTTACACTAGCTTTCATCTGACAGTGTTAACCACTGCGTTAATAAACAAAATCCACGGTTTCACACTGAGATACAGAAGTGAACATCCACGGGTCTTCATTACTTACAAACACTCCGGTGAGCTTGTCCAGCATCCAGTGCTTCGGCGCTGCAACGCGCTTCAGGTGCTTCTTCGGTCCTCTGGCCTGCGGAATAGGCGACAAAGCCGGTTAGCAAAATGAAATACAACCGGCCTTGATTCTCCTGAGGCACGAACAAATACAGCGAGTTTATAGCAGAACCCAAACCACGTTGGGAAGGCCGGCGAGTGTGGGCCATGTTAGCATGCGGCGCTAACTGAACCCATGCTAGCACAGACTTCGGCCCAGCCGGGACACACACCGGAAACATTTGTGGCATATTTTAGGATTTAAATTGTATCTAGATTTAAAATAAATGCATAAAAATACTGCACAGCTCTGCTTCCTGGCAGTAATACTCTTGTTTCTTTTTTAAGCGGGCTAACAGCGATAGCCGCTACCGAACTAGCAAGCCGCGGCTGACAAACCCGCACAGAAGGATCAGGTCGTCTTAAAATATCAATTAAGAGCAAGAATCAACGCTTTCAGCTACAATTTAAACTTCCTCCGTTTAATAAGACGCTAGAAATTAAAGTAGGACACATAAAGGTTTCGTAGTATAAAACATAAAAGTGATGTTTAGGGATTATTTCAGAGAGGAACACTGAGGGGAAACTGCTCACCATGTTGGAGTCTGCGGGGGAAAGGACCTCCAAGCTTCCGGTAATGCGTGTTAAGCCCTGCTACGGCACAGTGCGAGGGACACACCTACTGAAAGTCGCTGCTAGCGTTCTTTCTTGGCTTTTATTGCTTGTGTTGTAAACTTTTTAATATCCTATTAGTAGTACCAGTGGCTACTACACCACAGTCATCTTTAAACGCTTATTTGAGCAGCCATTTTAAAATTACATTTAACTGATCACCAGGACATAATGTCATGCCAGTTTTTGTTTTGGGCTCCTGCAAACCTACCAGTTCCTTGGGTGTCCTGGCAGTCCCTGCGCCTACACCTGCTCTCAGGAGTACACTGGCCAGGCTTAAATATCAGCCACAGTCACCAGAGCCTGCTGTGTGCCCTGCACACCCACAGTTAGAGGCATTTCCACCAGAGGCCATGGCCGTCTGGTCTTTTTCTACTAGGGGTCGTCCACTGTCTGGTCCTATTCTGTCTCCACCAGAGGTTGCCTGCGTACAGCTGTCTTCGTACAGTTGTCTGTTCCTGCTCCAACCCCAGCCAGTGGTCTGTGCTCCGCCCGAGCCAGCACTTGCCAAGCCACATCCAGCCATGCCTTCCACACCTGGTCTGGCATCAATGTCGCCGCCCATGCCTGGTCTGGCACTGCTGGCTCCTGCTAAGTCTGCCAAAGCTGGTGTGGCACCACCTGCCACAGCTGGTCTGGTACTGCCGGTATCGCCAGCGACTGCCACGCCTGGTCTGGCACTGCCGCCACCTGCCAAGCCTCCCCTGCCCGGTTGGGAAATGCCAGTATTCCAAGCCTGCCACACCTGGTCTGGCACCGCCTGCCAGGCCTGGCACGCCTACTCCAGCACCACCGGCACCTGCCACGCCTGGTCCGGCCCTGCCGGCACCTGCCAAGGCTCCCAAGGGTTTTGGTCTCTACAGTTGCCACCCGCCTGCCAAGCTGCTGGAGAAGTTCCATCACCTCCGTCAGTCCTTTGAGAGGTGTCACTGGCCACGTGGTTGGCCTCCAGAACTGCTCCTGCTTTGTTTGCTGGACTCACTGCTCCTAGTTTTTGTTTTGGACTCTGTAATCTCAAACTGACTCTGAGAAATTGCTTTATCTGTTCATAACAAACATGCTAGATTACTAAAGATCAATCTGCAGGATTATCAAAACATGTAGCAGGGTAACGTAATCATAATGCAGGAGCCTTACAGGAAATTTGACCATATTACCCCAGCAGTGAAGACACTTCATTGACTCCCAGTTCAACACAGAACTCTTAGAACCCCTCTGTTAGTTCATAAAGCTCCCAGTGCCCCCAGCACACCTCTGACTATAACCCAGTCAGACCTCTTAGGTCATCAGGTGCAGATCCGTGAACTGTTCACAGAAGATCTAAGTCTGCTGAAGATGCTTTCAGCAGCTGTGGGCTGTGTCTACACTAAAAAACAGATGAAACCTTTTTCATTCTCACAAGCTTAAATTAATAACCCTGTGTGTTGGCGCTTGTCTTTTACTTCTTTGTAAAGTTTTGTTTTATTGATTTTGTTGTTTCGTGACGTGCATAGTTCTTTAAAAAAAAACCTTTTTTTTTCAAGTTTACGTGCTGTGAAAACAAAACTGACCAGTGTGATAATGATGTGAGTATCTCCAGTTTTTCAAACCTAAAACAAAGAAAACTGTATTAAACTAAGCACAGGAGTCATTATTGCTCATAGACATCAACTCAGCAGAGGCTCTTCTGGGTTATCTGGATCATTCAGGAAAAACAGAACAGATTTTTATCGTTTTATGAACAGTTTTTGCAGAATTTCACAAATAATTATCTCATTAACTCAGGAAACCAGAAAAAATACACTAATGGTTTAATGGTTTGCCAACTGTCCCAAAAAACAAAGTTTTAGAAGCCTTTAAACACCCTAACTTAAACCTATCAGTCTTCAAGCCCCCAGCTCTACATTAATAGAGTTGGGGTTATTCACAATGTGACGATGCCTGCCGTGACCAACAGGTCCAGGTCTGTGCACTGATTTCTCCCACAGAGTAATTCATTTCATTTCATTTTCATTTATTTGTTCATTTTCAGGCACAACAAATACCTATATTGAACATAAAATGCACAAAACAAAAAACAAAAATTGCCTGAAAAAGGAGTGGGACGAAGAAAACTTATTAAATCCCACCCCTATACTCACTCATCAACAAAAAAAACAAACTTCCCGCAGCTACGCCCATCATTGCATACAGACCCATCAACAGCCCCGGGCACATACAAGCATCTAAACGGCAGCTCGCAAACAACAATTAGAGCCTTCATAACTGAATACAGAATATATAAATTATAAATTGCATTACCACAGGTAACAGGCAGTAATAACTACAAGTAACAAACACACATACATATATATCTACGCACACTTTTTTTTTTTTTTTTGGAATCCATACCAGCAATGGTAAGAGAACAGACATTACAGAGCACACTAAAAACCATCATTGAGTATACTGTGACCAGACCAACTGTTTGTAGAGAAATTTAAATCTATGAATATTTTTGCATTGTTTCAATTGTAAACTCAGACTGTTCCAGATTTTCACACCACACACAGACACACAAAAACCTTTACGGGTTGTTCGAGTTCTGGGTAATTTGAATAACAGGACCATGTTTAAAACCTCCATCTCTGGGTGGTTCAGAGCACCCTAGTCAGGAAATCCCAGGTTTGCAGGCAGCTTGCAGTCTTGTTTATACTCACTGAGATAAAACTCCTCCTTGCTTAGTGTCTTCCTTTGCCAAATGCTTCCAACTAATGCAGATATGCCATCTCCCTTTGGAGGAACAGATCCCAAAGACAAACCTGGACTCCATTCACGCCCAATGCAAACACTCCCGTGTGCATATTGGCATATTTATTCTAGTGACTGACTTTCATTTCTTATGATCCTTCCTTTTATTCACAGGTGTATATTTCAGGACAGGGGTTTCCAACAGGATCTCAAACCTACATGTCAATTACAGCATTTAGAGAGATCTGCAACATGGCCTGCAGCCAGAAGGAGCGGGGATCCATCGAGTTCAGATCTTACACGGTATAGCAGACGTCTGGGGAAGTAGTAGAAGCACTTTTTTAAAGAGTGGTATCGATTTCTGTAAGATTAAATACACTGAAGGTATAAAGTAAGGGCACGTGTGTTTGATTGAAATCTCTAAAGGATTAGTAAAGGATACAGTAAAGGATACAGTACTGCTTAACGCGGATGGAGAGTGTAATAAAGTCCTTCATTTTTTCTTTTTACATTTAAAGTTTCTTTTAAGTAGTTGAAAAATGATGAAAAAAATCAGGTAGTTTGAATTTTTGTCTGCAGCAAATGGAAATGAAAAAGTCTTAGACAGGTTTAGTATTATTTCCTTTTTGATTTAAAATGTCAGCGTATGAACTTACCATCACAAACCAGCAGGTGGAAGCACTGGACTGCAACGTTACAGTCAGGGAGACTTTTAAGTTTTTACATTAGTTTCAGTGGAGCCTCGCTTTATGTCCCAGTAATCATACATAAATTACCTGTTTATAAATGACCTTCAGATTAATTTATTTGCTTAAACATACGCACCATTATTGTTGTAGATGCTGGACCTTTATTAGCAGGTGTGTTGTTCTATATACATCAGATCAAAAGTGTTTGCAGATGTCTTTATTTCCCTCCCTCAAACTTCAGAACTGTCCCAAAAATTGAAATAATTTAAAATTGTTTGCATAACCTCCTTGATATAAAATCAACTTTGTACAGCAATCAGTCAACATATATCTGGTTTTATAATTAGGAGGTAGGGATGAGCAGGAAGGAGTTAAACTAGTGCAGACCTGGCAGGAGAGCAGTGAACCTCCTAAAAAGTGTCCTTTAAACAGAGTTATCCCTTATCTCTATCGTGTCAATGATTTTTACAGTCCTTGATGTGCTGGGACATTTTTTCATGACCCTGGAGCCCAGAGGCAGCAGTCAAGTGTGTTACAGATCCTTCCTGTCACATGAAAATTGTGAGGCTGCTTGATTAGTTGTAGAGCGTTTTCAAATATCAGTGGTGCTTTAATAAGATGCCTTTTATAGAGGGTTTCTAAGCTGTAATGATGTTATTTGTTATTCTATTAATGCTAGTTTTAACAAGGGGTTGCCAGGTTTTGGAAAATCCTCCTTTGTTTTGTCGCTTTAAAATGTTTTTAGTTGTTTTAATGATTTGGGGGAGACCTCTGACATCATCAGTTAAGTCTTCCATCAATCAACAGAAGTGTAACAAACTGCACTTCCTTTACTGGGAGTTTCAAAGCATGAGTCAGTCATAGATTTCCATTTTAAAATCCCAAACTTTACAGCATTTAAAAGCTTTTTTGGATAGTTTTTCCTCTTTATAACAGCTGTAGAGGGGTGATCTTTGGGTCACCACTTTGATTGACTGCTGTCCAGACCTACACAGCTGGAGGGTTTGGTACCTACTTCACCTGCACTAATTCTGAACTGGACCTCTTTGTTGAGCTTGTGTTATTGGTGCATTTCAGAGCATTTTAATGGAATAACCTGCTACACTGCTACACACTATCCAAGAACTTTGTGCTTCAGTTTTTGTGAATGACAGTGACAGATTTTAACAGGTCAATTAGTTATCAGTAATTAGCAGATAGGTGTGTTACACCTGTAAAGTTTATGAATGCCCTTCATAACCAAGCTTGCTACCATTACCTGATAACTAATTTCTCTCTGCCGGTCTTATTTTTACCTAAGCCTCGACAGATGAATTCAGATGCAACTCTCCCAGGAATTTCCCAGGGATTTCCAGGCTTGAACCAGGGATCTTCCACTTGCTAGGTTTAGCCACTACTCGACTGTCTCATACAAATATGGTAAAGCTAGCCCTAAAGAACAAACAAACAAGCAGACAAATTTTTGGGAGGGGTGGACAATTAATTTACCCACGTTGTCCCACAATTTGAGATACATGGAAAGCTGGGACCAATGTGGAGGATCTTAACAATAAGTTTGTATAAACGTATCTACATTTAATAGCAGAACCAAATTCAGCTTATTGACGGGCCCTTCACAACAGTCCCGGTTTCTAATGTGGTCCCTTAGGAACATTTACTGCCCACCCCTGAATAATATGGCCCTATTGATCAACTGAGGAGCTCCAACAATGGCTGCAGACCCAGAAGAACCAGAACTGGGAGCAAGATGGGTGATAGGAGCATGTGAGGCTGGCATGTACTGCAAAACAAACTAATCATACCCAACCAGTAGACTAAGATTCAAAACCTTCAAATGTAGCCTGGGCTGATGTACATGTCAGTCTGGCAGTGATGTTGGAACAATAGAAGAGAATTAAATATGCTAAGATCAGCATATGCAAAGTTTGACAGCAGTCCACTTCTATGATACTGTAAAACTACGTTAGACACAAAAAGTCACCACAACCACAACTTTTCTTAAACTTTTCCAGGCCTGCCCTGTAATTTTCTATCAGCCCTTTATCACAAAATGAATTTTAATGAAGTAAAGGGCAGAGTGATAGCATCAGCAAACTTATTAATCTTCCCCACAAAATCTTATTAGTGAAACACAGCTTCACTTCATGTTTTTCTCCCAGAACTCCACGTTTCTCCTGCAGCGGCTCTACTCCCAACATTTTGAAAAACTCTCATGGAAACAAGCTCTTAATCACCTAAAAGCCACAAGGTGGCTGACTGAGCACTCATCTGAACTCATATTCCACTTTAGAGAGAATTTCAGGTTGTTTTGTGAGTTTTGTGAAGAATAGTTTAGTTCAAAAGGTTAATTTGCAGTAGTTGAGGATCAAGAAAAAGAGGAAATGAAAGGCTCTGTACAAATCATCTCAATCATGAACTTTTTCAAGGGAGGAGAGAGGGGACCGTGTTCACACAGCAAAAAAAACAACAAAACAAAACAAAAAAAACCCCATCCTCTCAGCTGGGATTAAACTGGACTGCAA